AAAAAAAAAAAAAAAAAAAAAAAAAGGAGAGAATCTCCGAAAAGAATCGAATTTCTCTTCATTAATTGTGAGGGTTGCACTCTGGCTGGTACCCGTGGGCTTTTTGTAGTTCAGGGTTGCATGGTTCCGGGCGTGACATAATAATAATAAGACCGAAGAAAAGAAAAGAGTCGAGTTCATTTTAGGCTAGGCTTAGCTCACGACATTCGACCGCCTCCCCTCCCTCCTTCCCTCCCCTCCCCTAAAACTAAAACTTCTCCGGGCCTGCCTACGTCACAACTTTTCTTTCTTCCCTTTCCACCTTCTACTCATACTACCACCACCAACTACGAGTACTACTACTACTATTATCATCTTACTTACGCAGTCCAGTGACCCTCCTCGGGTTCAACTACAGTACTTCCCCATTCCCAATCTCTATCTCGCGACTGAACAACCGGACGACAACAAGTCGATTGACTAGAGAGTCGGCGTCAGGCCTTGCTTTCTCTTCTTTCTACCTGTATCTGTTATCCTTGTTCCAGTCGTCGCCATCTGCTCTGGTCTTTGCCACTTCATCCGCTCGCTCTTAGCCCTTATTTTTCTTTTATTTTTCTCCCTGCCCGTCCACCACCCACCCCCCCAAAAGTCACCTGCCGACTCTTTCGCTTTTAATATACCGACCACCACCCCCCTCAGAGACTATGTCTGCGGTCGTCGCTACGACTATTTCGACCAGCTTGCCGAATAATCCTTCGCATCGTAATTCATCACCAATGGACGCGAAAAAAGCTGGTCTTGAGAGCGAAGGTGAGTGCGTGTGTGCGTGTGTGTCATGATGGGTTTTTATCCTCCATGTGCGCGTGTATTCGCGGTACCTTTTGCCTTATGCAAAATCGCTATTGTATTCTGCATTCTCCCTATGCTCTTCTGTTAAGTCTTGGCCTGTTTGGGCTTGGTTGTACGCCACTGTTCCTCAAATGTTTTGTTCAACGCCCTCGCCATCGGGATGACCTCACAATTGGCGTCATCGATGGCTATCGTTATCAGATCCCTTCCTCAGATCCCTACCCGCCTGCCTGCCTGTCTATGCGATGCGAACACAACATCGTCGTTCGCATCCGAACCATCGCTTCCATCATCACACCCTTGACCTATCTACTATCGTCGTCGCGCTTTGGGCTTCATCTACCCTCTTGGCTGCATTACTGACGCGGTCTTCCTTTGAGCGACAGACTCCCGGGCGCCGTCTTCGGATGTCAAAGACTCCAAGCCTGATGTAGACTCGCAAACCTCGTTGGCGCCTCCTCCGCGACCAGCCATAACAAGTGCTACTGATACCCCCGACTACTTCAACTCAGTTCATAATCCCTTCTCTCTGGAGCCCAACCCCTTCGAGCAGTCCTTCAGTGGCGGTGGTTCTGGAGAGACGCCAGGCAAATCCATACTCCCTCCCGTTGCAGCCCTCACTTCTCCCGCCCTGCCCGGCACTACCTCGGCCGGCGGTGGCTACGGCTGGTCCAACTCGTTGCGCTCTGGGCCTCTTAGCCCAGCCATGCTCGCAGGCCCGACCGGCTCCAATGATTACTTTGATAGTATTGGCCGGGGATTCCCTACTCCCAACGAATCCTCTCTCCGTACTGGCCTGACTCCTGGTGGAGGAGGCTCTATGTTCCCTGCTCCTAGTCCAAACTCCCAGGCACTCCTTCAACAGCTGCAAAGCGGTGGTGCGACGCCATCCACCATCGAGTTCCACCGTACTGCTTTGAATGCGGCGAAGAAGAACAGCCTTAATGGTCCCACGTCTAATCCAGCCGTTGAATCCGATCCAGCATCACAGTCCAGCATGGATATTAAACCAAGCCAGCCAGCGGGAGCCGACCCCTTCGGCCACCACGATGCTGCTGATGCAGCTAATGGACTGTTCATGCTAGCCAAGGGTGGACAGGCAAACCCTAACCAATTCCCTGTTGCCAATCAGGCATCCATTCAGCCACAGAACATCCAGGCCAATGACCAATCT